ATAAAAATATTTGAAAGTGCTATTTTGAGATGTTTTTAAATTTTTATTTTCAAAATCCTTCCTGTGTTTCTCTGCTTTTGAGAAGGCCCTACCTGCCGATCTGCTGGTACATAGGCCATTTTTTGCCCCTTGGGCTTTAACAAATTGGTACCAAAGTAGTGAATTTAATTTGGTTGCCTTGAGCCACTTCAAAAATAGGATTAGCTATTGTCCTACAGCATTTTAGTTTTTCTTATGTCTACAGACATACTTTTTCGCCTTTCAGCTGAATAACTGAAATGATTTCTCATTACCCCTAGTAATCACAAAGAGCCTAGAAATATTCATGCATCCTTCGTTGTTTTCCTCAGCGTCCTACAGCTAAAGAGCTTCTGAAACACAAATTCATTGTAAAAAATTCAAAGAAGACTTCTTATCTGACTGAACTGATAGATCGATTTAAGAGATGGAAGGCCGAAGGACACAGTGACGATGAATCTGATTCTGAGGGCTCTGATTCGTATGTACAAATTATTTCATTTTTATGTAGGTAGCCCATTTTAATATTGCATCTCTTTTAACTATGATCCAATATGCTTTCTCTAGTATAAAATATAAACCATATCCTAAAGTTTCACTTTCGAAACGGAAAATGTTTTAAAATTATAGTCTGTTAAATACAATGAATTTGGAAACATGTTTTTCTTAGAAGTGAACTGCTCTAGTTTTAAATGGTCTTGGTCTAACCCCTAGTGGATACTTGAGTATATTACAAAATTTTGGAACAAGGTTTGATTAAAGGTGTTATATTAGTTTGCCCAAAGTGATAAGGGGCTATGTCTTCTCATACTTCGGTGGCAACCTGCAAAATCCCTCTGGAGAACTGACTGCCAGGTCTTTCCCACATCTTGGCCATGTACCAAACCATGATCAGACTGGTACATTTAAATATTCATTTATATATGATTTGTACCTGCTTAAAAATTGCACCAGTTTTTTGTTTGTTTGTTTTTTGCTGAGGAAGATTAGCTCTGAGCTAACATCTGTTGCCAATATTCCTCCTTTTTTTTTTTTTTGCTTGGGGAAGATTAGCCCTGAGCTAACATCTGTGCCAGTCTTCCTCTATTTTATACGTGGGTTGCCACCACAGTGTTGCTGACAAATGGTGTAGGTCCGCACCCAGGGTCCAAACCTACGAACCCAGGCTGCTGAAGCAGAGTGCACTGAACTTAACCACTAGGCCACAGGGCTGGCCTCTGCACTGTTTTTTAATTGTAGCATTTACATTAACATTTTAGCCTCTAAATCCATAACTTAATGCAAATGTGGAAAGTCTGTAGGCTATACTAGAATTTACTCCTCCACTGGCTGAATTGGCACAAAGGCAATACCAAATTTCTTTACATGATACTCTCAGAGTCCTGCATTTATGAGAAATTGCCCAACTTTTAAAAGGGATAAAAAAATATCAGGATAGTTTTCTACCCTGTTCTAATACTTATTGGCCTTAGCTGCCCATGAGAGTTGCCCATGAAGCCTTAATAAAATCACAAGCTGTACTACGAGAGATTCTGGTCCAGTCAGTGGGGAGGGGCGGGTCAGGGCTTTATATATAAGAGGCCTCCACATGTGATTCTGATGCACACTTAGAGTTGAGAACCACTGCTCCTCTTCAGTAAAATGTAATATCTACCTGAAACTAAGATCAAATGCTTTTTATACTATGATTTTTTATACATTGGGGCAGTTCTCTCTTCAGAGTCTGGCTGCATTGATTTGGTATTTTCACCAAGCTGAATTGTTTAGGAACTTATAGAAATATCTTTGGGAATCTCTTTAGGGAATCCACCAGCAGGGAAAATAGTACTCATCCTGAATGGAGCTTCACCACCGTGCGAAAGAAGCCTGATCCAAAGAAACTACAGAATGGGGCAGTACGTACATGGAGATGATCACTTCCTCTTGACAGACTGTTTTGAACTACATAGTGATATTATGATGGCCTAAAATTGTTAGAATTGAATAACCCTAAATGCCTGTCTACCTCGTTGTGTCCATAGGATGCTTCATTTGCCATTTTTTGAGCTAATTACGAAAAGGTCATAGAATTCATTTAAGTGGCCATTGGTGTATTTTTAAATGATTTTACCAAGAGATACATAAACCCAGTGGAATCATGAGTGTATGTTGTAATCCTACAAGTTAGAGGCCTTCTGGATGATGGATGGGAATTAGCAAGGGGAAGAAAGCGTGGAGACTTGCCTTATATTGAGTCTTTTGGCGAGGAGGATTCAAATTAGTGCACATTTGTTATAGAATAACTAAGAAAAATATGAATGACTTTTAAATTCATGTGTATAACTATACTATTTGTTCAAAGGAGCAAGATCTTGTGCAAACCCTGAGCTGCTTGTCTATGATAATCACACCTGCGTTTGCTGAAGTAAGTACAGATTCATTAGGTTTGTACATCTATTTTAAGAAGTATAGTCATTTTAAATGTTATAGCTATTGATCTTTCTCAGCTTAAACAGCAGGATGAGAATAATGCTAGCAGGAATCAGGCAATTGAAGAACTCGAGAAAAGTATCGCTGTGGCTGAAGCCGCCTGTCCTGGCATCACAGATAAAATGGTGAAGAAATTAATTGAAAAATTTCAGAAGTAAGCTTGAAATGTCATTTTTAAAATTTATTTTGACGTTTTCTGTTGGATGTTAATTTATAATGCAATATAATTACCTTGATTCAGTCATTTCAATTATTCCCAGCAAATTAACTTCTTAATGGTTGTATGCTTGAAAACTGTTTTGCTTGTTGCCCATCTTAAACATTAGCTTTTGGAATAATTACCTTCAGGTATTACAAGGTACTTTTCCATGGAATGAAATGGCTTTTTTTTCCTTTCCCTGCTAGTAGGAGTATAGACAAAAGGTCACGGAGCATGGTCTTATTTGGGCCCTCATAAACACCACTGAGGAATGCTTTCATTCTTGCCACTACTCTCATCACACCACTATTCATGTAATTTCCAGTGCTCAAGTTCATAAGTTTAACCCCCATAAGAAAAGGAAAGGATTTTAGGTAGAGGAACTCAATAAATTGAGACTATAAACATTCCTTGACTTCAATTTCTATAATGTCTGGTGAACTATTAATTTAACTTCGTTCATATTCAATAAAGTTCTCACATTTTGTTTTAAAAATTCTCTTTTTAAACAAGACTTTAGTATGCATACACAAACATACACACAACTTTTTAGCTCAGGCAAGTTATAAAGCAATACTGATCTTAGCCTTATTCCCATTATATCACTTCTCAGTACATCTTTATATTTCTTTGTATTTGTGACACCACTGGGATCAAGACTGTCAAATCACACACTCTCATAGGTCTTCCTATCTGATAAAGCCTACTTGCACTTATAAACTAAAGCCCCTTTTAAAATCCGTTAGATTTTAATGGAAAACTCCCCTCTCTTTTCCAATTTGCAAACAAATCAATTGGAAGTTGTAAAATCAGGTGCAGAAGGGATTTTTTTAACATCTTTATATTTTAACATCTACATGATGAGACTCAATAGAAAGAATTTAGTTTGCTGAATCAGTTCCTTCATTGCAGAGTTCATACAGACGAGAAATATAAACATGCATAGTTGTATATCAAGTTTTTCTTAATTTCCTAGGTGTTCAGCAGATGAATCTCCCTAAGAAACTTCTTCTTATTGGCTTCTATTTCATATGGACCCAGAGAAACCCACCAAAGCCACTTCAAGCTTAACAATGCTTAATTCATGAGCTCCATGTGCCTTTTGGATCTTTGCAACATTGAAGATTTGGAAGAAGCTATTGAACTATTTTGTGATGGTCTTTATCATTTTGTATTTTAAAGAGATTATTTTGTAAGGAATAACTTTTAATACTATAGTTTCCTCAGTATTCTGGTAAATGTTGAGCTACAGTTTGGCTTTTAGGTATCATTATTACTTAAGTTCCTAGGATGAATGCCTTTCATGTTTTCATCTTTAGTTAACTGTACATTCATGAAACATACAGGTCTTTCAAAGTCATCCTAAGTATTCAACATTTGTAGATCATCAAGCCTCAAAAAGCTTTTTTTTTTTTTTTTTAACACAAGCATGTTCTAAAAATGACTGTTGGTGTAGAGGTGGAAACAAGTCATATCTTCTTAAAACAGAAGTTTTTAATAGGCTCTTGGAAATGAAACCTTGAAAAGTATTGACTCTCCTGCCAAGTTGGTGTGATATTCCAGGCAGCTCAATGACGATCACATTTGAGAGCCCTGTGATTGAAGCATTTATCGGCAACATGTAGCAACAGAGGTCCCTGTTGGTGTGCAGTATTTACCTTGTCTTTTTAGAAGAGGCAATTAACCCTTATTTAACATGGTTGGAAATTTAAAGCAGTACCCGTTAGCCAAGGATGAGTTTTTGGTAATACTGGAGGAATTAGTCAGGCTTCATTTTAAAAATCTTCAAGTGAAATCGTATATTATATGCTTGGATTTGGGGAGCTTAAAAACGCTGATCATCATGTGATTAAATACCTGATCAACAGGTATGAATATAATTTACACCAGCATATTTTTGTCATGGTAGTAAAATGTCCTATAAATTATTTATACATTTTTGTTCTTCATAATTATCCAATACATAAGCATCATTTGTTCATTTTTAAAGGGTATTTAAATAAGCATTTTCTAGTTCATAAGAAAATAACCATAGTACAGGATGATTTCTGTCCGTACAAAGGTAAGTTAGACTGTACAGCTAATTTTCAGTTATATTTATGGTACTGTTATGTGGGTAATACTTTTTTCTTTTAAGCCCAGTATATATATTATGCCTGCCTGAGTTCTGAACTGGGGCTATTTCGGTAGTTGTAGAATTATTGATATCAGTTAGCTTTGATAGTTAATGTTTTATTGTTTGGATCTGCACAATTTGGTTTTTGCACAGAAGTCATTTTTAAAAATCTGAATAATTGCCAAATATTAGAAGAAAATGTTCTTCAAGTAAAGAATGCAGTTTTTAGTCAAAGTGCCCATTACCTCCTCTGTTTTTGTAATAATACAGATATGTGAATAAGTTGTCATATCATATGCCAAGAAATTCTTTTCATTGGTGCCTGTACTGTAACAATTACTTTTAACATATTATATTTTGAAGTAATGGTCCAGTTAAAATTTTCACCTGCTGTCTAACTGAAATTCCATTACAGTTTATGATCTGTAAAGGTCTGGAAATAATTTTGCAACTCATCATTGATTAAATGAATATTTTTGTAAAAGTCAAAGCAACAGATTTATAAATTGATTATTTGAAACTTGACGACACAACTGTATCATGGATAGAAATTGTATTGCTTATTCATTGTAGTTAGTAGTCCTGTAAAGTGTTTCTAGGTGAAGCATACTCCAGTGTTTTGGGGGGTTTAAAAATAAATTCTTAAATTTCATGGTCTTCAATGTTTGTTTTCTTGAGCGGGGTATGGTATAGTATTTTAATTGTTTCAAATTATTTCTCCTTTGCCCTTTGATCTATTGTTGGAACTTTAACACCAATGTTTCTGTTGAAAACTGGAAGATATTCTTCACATTTTATTAAGCATTGATTGTAGCTACAGTGAACGTCTGTCCTCATTTCTGCCCCATCCTGACAAAACTATTACTAGATTCCTATATTTCACTCAAAAATGTCCAAGGTTGGACAATAAATTATATGATCACCCTAATTATAGTTTTATTTGGAAATCTTTTACAGATTGGAACCCTATAGTTCCCTGGGGCAAACAAATTTCACAAAGGTTTCCAGAAATTCATATGAGAAATAGCATAAGCCTGAAGGAATTTGAGATTTTCCTAGAGAAAAGGTCAAAGATGAACTTAACATAGCTTTGAGGATCTATAGGATTGATATATAGGTGATTGGGCTTCGATATAGTCTTATTATTAAATATTCTAGTCTGTGAGTTACTAGATACGATTCCAGGGACAGGAAGGAAAGTGGTAGAATGTGGGGAAGGAGTAGAGTGAGGTATATTAAAAGGGATTTTTCTGATGTTAGGACTAAGAGAATAAGGAAACTATTCCATCCATCTTTTCTCACTGAAGTCATAGATAAAAATAGCTTGCCTATATGATTGCATCATTTCTTTGAAGTTAGTACCTAACATTATCTTGTAAATATGTTGTACTTAACATTAAAATCAATAAACAAAATAAAGTTCTCAAATAGAATGCTATAACTTCCACGGGGAGTGGTAGAGAAATTCTGAATGGGTCAAGAATAGAATTTTGGTTCATTAACTCAGTCTGGTTTTAGTACTCTCCTTTTTCATTTCAGCTACCCCAATTTACCGCTTCTCCATCCCTTACTAGGCATTTTCACATGCCTCCCTCTTTTCCTTGTTCTCTAACTGTCCCTTCCCTTAGTAATAGGCTAGAACCAACCACTTCTGAAATTGATTAAAACAAAAGGAAGATCATACTTACAAATTATTTTTTAAATAAATGGATTTCCATTGCTCTTTATTAAAATACTATTCATCTCATTCCCTTGCCTACATTACATACATGCAAGAAGATATAGCAAAAAATCAATTCTCGCAGGAGAGATTAAACACCATGTTAACTTTTATCTTTCGCTACATATAATAGATAGTTAAGAATAGAGAAGTAATAAGTCAAACATCATAATATCTTCATCAGGCATATATCTGGCTTTAGCAATTGATTAATTCATGAATTTTTGAGGTTTAGAATTCTGCCAGTTCCTAGATGAGTTATAGACTTGTGTTGTGTTGAGAGGATCTATGCCACTGTCTTGTTCCTGAGATATAGGAGGGCCATGCTCCCCCTAGTATATGTTATAAAAATTAAAGTTCTTAACATATAACAGGACCATTTTTACCAGGCCCCACGCAAATAATGAGGACTGAAACCTTTAGTCATAGTATTAAGAACAAAATGACCAACACAGTCACAATCTACTAAATCACTAAATGACATCAGAAGCCAATTCTATATGCCAACCCCTACTGTCACCATTCTTCAGTGTTGAAGAGCCTGACTTTCATTTATAATGTCTCTATGGAGAAATGTATAATGGAGATGACAAATACCCACCTCACCCCGCCACAGTGCTGGTGAGGAGAGGGCATGGTCCAGAGACCCTTCAGAGGGAACAAAAGAGTGGAGCTTGAGGATCGAGGCAGCAGCTGGATATTTCATAAGCTAGGTGCCCAAACTTAGAGGATTCCATTAATACCAAGGAATACTAACTAAAAAAGTGGTTTATGCAGAAGGTTCCTAATTTTTTACCTAAGTTGGTAACATGGAACTGGCCCAGGAATGTCCGTAGAGTTCACATTTTTAAGTTAAAAAGTAATTACACGGTTTTAGCAAAGTCCTGTCTTCAGCAGTTGGTGTAGTGAAAGAAACATCTTCATCTTCTTCGTCTAGCTGTAGACTACCAGAAGACAAGCGGATTCTGGCCATGGGTGACCTTATTCCTTTGCCATACAAAGAGTAGTAGTCTGGTTTAAGAATCTCTGATTCAGAATCACTGGATTCACTGGCTACATATCTTTCTGCTGCTCCCTGATCCATTAGAACTGTTGGAAAGTCCTGCTCTGCAAACATATATGTAAACAGGTCAGCTTTACGACTCAGAGCAGGACAAGGCCCTAAAGGTCTAAATTCTGACCCAAAAGGAAAACGGATAGTTTTCATGTCTGATTGGCTCTGGGATCGTTTAGGGGTTTGCTCTTGAATGTTACTTGCAAATGCATCCTCTAAATTTGGGTCTTCCTCTTCTGGATCTACATTGATGTTGCTCCTACCACTAGTCCTGGCCATAGCTTCTTGGAGTTCTTGAAAGTCTTGCTGAAAGCTCTTCATTCTGACATTCCTTGGGCTTTTTTTGGCCGGCTTCATTGCAGTGGGCTCTAGACAGTTATCTTGCCTTTCCCTTTCCTCTGCCATGATTGGAGACCGTCGGGGCACCTGGGGTGGTCTGTCCACATAAAAAAAGACTTGAGGAGGCATGATATCAACCTGCTGACCAGTACAAGGGATATAGGGCACATCTGTGTAAGTTAGCTGCCTTGCTGGACTCACTTTGCTTGTCAGGCCAGAAGATGTGCTCATGTGATTGTCAGCAAACTTACAGCTTGTTCGGAAGGAGCTTAGGGGACTCCTTTCCTCAAAGTAGTCTCTGGGATCAGTGGCAGGATCGGGGTCAGTTTTAAAGACAGGGTCTGTATAAATAAAAGGGAAAGAGGAACTGCTTTGGGACTGATGTAATGATTTGGGATCCGCTTCTGGTTTGGAACGCTCCAGCTCGGCTGCAAACGTCACCTCCACTGCAGAATTTCTCCTCCGACTGTCTAGCACCGGCTCAGATGCGTGCACTCCATTCACATTTCGGTAGTACCCACCGCCGTATGCTAGTCTCAAATCTTCCACCTGGAGAGAAAGGACATATTATTGGTGAAAGAAGGAAAAAGCCATTTGGTTGGGGTCGGGGCAGGGATCTAAATTAGCCTTGAATTTTGCAAAGGTAGTTTTTCAAGAAGTCATTTCAATCCATATTCTATTCCAGGGTTGATGAATATGTAACAGAAGGGTAATAACTTCTACCATATCCCAACTCATGTGATAAAAAATACCTATGACGCGATCCTTTCTCAATGCCATCCCACTCCCAGCCTCCGAGTTCTCTATGTCGTTCAGCCAGCATTGTGCTTCAAGCAGTATGGTTTAGTAGTTGTATCAATGAGCCAGGAGTGCTTCCTTTTGTCCTGGCTCTGCCTTTGACTAGCTGTGTGGCCTTAGGCAAGTCTCCTAACCTCCCTGTTCCAGCCTCCTCCCCATTTTCTGTAAAATGGTGGGGAGGAGGGCTATGAATGGCATGAGAGTGTCATGTCTTAGATGGCATGTTCCAGCATTATATCTCTGTGATGCCTTTCAGATAAAAACTGCCTGTGACTTGCATGAAGACGTGAGTTTATGAGACCTATAATTAATTTTTTTGTAGAGAGAGCAAAAGAAAAATGATTAACATGGTTCATACTATAAAACTCAAGTGAAGCCTTCATCTCACAGTTCCAGGAGAATAGCACTTTGTTCCTAAATTAAGTTACCAAATTACACAGCAAAAGTACTTTAAAACCTTAACCCAAGACCTTATAGCTTCCTCTACGCCTTAAGATTTTCATAGGTAAAAAAGCAGAGCTTTTAGTTTTAAAAATACGAAGCCATAGAAATTCATTTGCATCTGCATTTTGCAAGATGTTAGCAATTCAGGTTGCAATTTAAAGATGTGCCAGATGCTTCCAGTCTATAGGGTACACACTGCTGGTAGTTTACTAAATAGTCTTCTATTGGCTGGAAAGACTGAGCTAACAGACCTCCCCAGGAGGCCGACCTACTTGAACAGAGTAACCTTTTTACACACTGGGAGATTCTGGCAGAATCAATTCTTGGGAGCATTTGGAATGTGGGCACATTACATTTATCTGAAGAAGAAGGAATTTTCAGAAACCTACTTGTTTTGACACATCAGAGAGGAGGTCTGGCGAGGACCTGCACTGCCGTTCATGGTACTGAGATGGATAATGTTTCCTGAAATCCCCAAACAGAGAAGGAATTGAAACAGTCTTCGTGTGAATACAGGATACATATAAATCTCCAAATTCAACTTAAAATCAACATGAGAGGGAGAAACAAAACTATGTACCTTTCAAATGGCAAGCTCTTCAACCTTCCTTTTTTTCCATATTCCAAAAGTTGCCTTTGGGTTCTTCCACTATTATAAGAACGAGATAATCATTTTATTAATGCTGGCAGTAAGCCAGGAGGCTACTAAAACTTGATGGCCTCATTTGTTGTTGACAAAAAAGAGTTTGGATGAATGACGTATGTCATGAATCTTTGGCCATCACATGAATGATAATACTTATCCAAGGACCAGGCATAGAGCAGTCTTAACTACTCAGAACCCAGAAACTTTTAAAAGCCTCTGAGCAGGGCTATACAACAGTTAAAAATTCTGGCCTTGAAAACTCATGTACTTTTCTTTCAAGGCCTTTTCCTTACCTCTGCATTTACACACAATTTCTAGTGAGGCTATTTATCCGGTTTCCCAATCCATGGCAGAAGACAAACAGCTAACCAGACAGTAGAATCTCCAGTCAGACACACACTGGCCAAGAAAGCCAGCTGACTGCCAGGAGAAACACAAGAGCCCAAAAAGAAATCATGGAATGATAAAATCCAAAAAGTCTGGGCCATTTATCACTGAGGTGCAGGGTCTGACATGCCTCCCCCACCCTGAGGCCATTGCTGCTACAGCTGCCTACAGAGGATAATAAGCGATGTTTCTAATAACTCAGGTCATTAAGAAAAGGGCAAAATATGCTCAGTATCATCTGTTTAAGAAGGCAAGGATTTGTAGAATACATTTTAGAAAGATTCCATCAAAAATAAGTACGTTTTTAAAATCTCAGTTCTTACTGGGGTAGGCTTCCATTGTTTGAAAAATTTCTTATGGGAAGCATTTGATTAGAATTTTTTTATCTTAGCTAAGAGTTTTGAAAGCTTCTTCCAAAGAATCCCTAAGCTGGTGTGTTCAAGTGAAAACAAGATCTCATTTCGACCTCGTTTCCATTCCTCCAAAGTGTTACCTATAGTAAGGAGCCTCTACTGCAACATTGCTCAACCTTTCCAATCCCTTAGCCCCTCCAGTGCTTTCTCACACATCTTTTGCCTAACCACTACCAAACGGATGTTGTTGAGCTTTCCTTTTCATGGGTTGCATATAAGAAAAACAATAGGTTCGTTGAATATGTTTTCTCAAGCTGCATATGTCCCCCACCCTTGCCGAGATTCCGATCTAACCTCTTAAGTAGGGTGCTCCCCTCCCCCGGCCTCCCAGTTAGGAAATATGTACTTAATGCGTCAAACAGAGAATGAGCAGTAAAGGGCAACATCCTTTGAGTGATTGAAATGGATTCATTATTGCTTCTAGAACTCAAGCTCCTCTTACTGCCTTTCATGTTATTGAAAAGAAGTTGTGTGTGTAGTTTGCCTGTGTGCAATATTTAATTACCTATAGCGGAAACTGGAACCTTTGCTGCAGAGTAGGGTTTTGGGCTTTGATTTGGGCTCTTCGGAAAGTCGGAAGAAAGCATGGTACTCCACACAAGTCTTCCAGAAAGCCTTGCAGGCATCTCGGCTGGCCATGGTGAACTCCAAGGTGTCCTTGCACAACACCTGTATAAACCAATTTCCATCAAGCAAAACACCCTTCAAGAATATCAAAGACCTGAAATCCCAACGCCTTCCAAACTACTGGCCCAGGGGCCCATGCAGCTTCTGATTTTCCACTTGGCTCCCTATAGGCTTCACACCTACTGAAACCAAATGATTGGCAACCTTCTGAGGAAGAGACAGGGCCCCTGCTCAAAAACAGAGCCTTCTCTAAAAAGCAAACCTTGCTTTGCACACCCCCCCCACCTCCAATGCTTTTTTACCCCCTCTTCTCTGCCAGGAACGTTTTCATAAAGTTGTAAATTAGGTCAAAATGAACATCAAAAGGCATCCTTTCAAGGTGACAAGAAGTTATAAATGACCAACAGGAAAGGAGCGGGAGGAGATTTCCTTACAGATGGTAGGATTTATAGGATGATTACACGTACATGAGTCTTTTTAACATGCCACCTAGAAACACTTCTTCCTTTCTACACTCCCTTGTTTCTCTGATGCTCTGTATTGCTCGTTTAGCATAGTCTAATTTGCTCCAGGGGAGCTTAGCCTGTCAGATCTAAAGTTCAAGTTTTCCCCATCCCCCGACTCACTATATAGCCCCATTTGCCCATGGATGCATGTAGCCCTGTTTTCAACAGCCGCACCAACCCACTCTGCTGCCCTCCCACCTTCTCTCATTCCTTTCCAGGTTCCTGTATGCAGCCCTGGGACTCTTCATGAGCTTACACTGGACAGTCTCCTAAACTGCTCAAATGAAAACTTTTTTTTGGTGAAGAAGATTGGCCCTGAGGTAACACCCATTGCCAATCCTCCTCTTTTTGCTTGAGGAAGATTCTTGTTGAGCTAACATCTGTGCCAATCCTCCTCCATTTTGTACGTGGGACGCTGCCACAGCATGGCTTGATGAGCAGTGTGCAGGTCTGTGCTGGGGATCCAAACCCCTGAACCCTGGGCCACCGAAGTGGAGATCACAAACTTAACCACTACTCCACCAGGCCAGCCCCGTGAATACTTTTATATAAGGCTAAGATCCAGAGAACGAAGCCCAAACTACTGGATCTTCTGTAGTTGACAAACGTCTTGATAAATACTTTTCATGATAAACATTTTTCATTTCCTTTATAGTCACAAAAGAACATCCTTTCTAGTACCTTTGTCTTACTCCGTACAACACAGCCTTGACCAATAATTGCTTCTTTTGCTTACAATACACTCACTGCCCCACCCCCACCCACATCCTGCTTTGGCATATAGTAGGTGTTGAATTATTTTTGCTTAAGGAAAGAAGATAAAAAGACTTCATAAAATGGAGCAGATAACATCAGATGAATATGTCAATACTCCTGGATGTAGTCACTTCCATTTGATTCATCAAATCCCTGAAAAATGGTTTCTAAGGAGACTTGTCTTTCATCCCAGCCACCCCATTTTCCTATTTCTTCATTCATTCGGAACTGCCAATAGGATTTCTTAGTGTTTTGCCTTGAGTAAAAATATGACTAAAGCTCTGTTTTATTTATGTAGAGGCAAAAGAGGGAGCCCATCCCCCCTCGGGGCCAGCCAGCTTTCACCACTCCTATTCAAACCATTTGCAGGAACAACCAAGAAATCTCAAGTGTGCAGAAAGTAAAAGAATTTATTAGAAAAATACTTACCAAGATGTTGGCATGAAGTTTGATGAGAAAATGCTTTCTCTTAAAACTCAACTTGCGGATTTTAGCCCAGTTGAAAGTATTGATCTTTGTATTTCCCTATAATGAACCACATGGCAAATTTCAGGATGAACATTAGCACAAGCTTGTTTGTAAGACAATGTAAACCTGTTTAAAAATGTACTTCATGAACAGGACTATCCTTGATCTAGCGCTCGCACAGACTGAGCTTGTCATAGTAGGTAGAAGTCATGGCCCAAAGAAGGCACTCCAGGCGGGACACAAGGCTGCTCTGAAATGCAAGAAGGCGTATGCCTGGGAAAAGTTTCTAACCAGGATCGAGAGATCACAATAGAAAAAGATTACTGTAATAGCTTCTGTAATCTCACCACTTCCCATATTTCCAGATTCAACTACTTAAAAAACTCCTATTTATCCTGCCACCCCATTGACTCAAATTCTTTCCATAACTCTTCGCTGTCTGCATCATGGATTTTCTTACCCCAATTACATTGACTATCTAACCTTATATCTCACTGCTCCTAGAAAACACCCAACTCTGCACCTTCCCTCCCATAGGTCTCCTCATTCTCCTTACCCAGAAGGCCTTCCCCACAGTTAGGCCTTCTTGCCAGCTCTGGTAGCAACCCTTCTAGGATATTCTATATAATTACTGCAGGCTGCACCCATTTCTAACTCTTCCGAACTCCTCTGGCTCTCCTGGACTGCCCAAACAGTTTTGCTCTTTTGGCTGGTTGGCTGGTTGGCTGGTTGGTAGTTGTTTGTTCACCTGGTCCAAAAATCAAAGGTGTACAAAAATATATATATTGGGAAGTCTTACTCCCACCACTGCCACTCCTACCTCTGTCCCCATATAGCCATTCTCCACAGGTAACCACATTTATTAGTTTGTTGTGTATACTTGTTGTGCAACTATGAGTTAATATGATAGATTACCTTTGATTACTTACTATCTGATATTGATCACTATTTTTCTGGTCTCTCCAAGTAAATTGTGAGTATCTTAATGACAGGAGCCATGTGTCATGCTTAATGTTAGTTTCTTGATTATGCCATCCTTTATGCTTCTCAGGGCCTTTGTGTTGTGCCTTTTCTCTGGCACACATTCCCTCATCTGCCAACCCTACCCCTTTGGTCTGGATAACCTCCTCAGGTCTCAGCTTAAATGTTAAGCCCCTTTTACACGTGTGACCTTAGCACCTCATACTTCCAGCTCAAAGCACATCACATTTGTTTATAATTACTTGTTGAATTGTCTATCCTCCCCCTATTAGAATGCAAGTTCCATGAAGTCAGAATCATTCCTGTTTACCTCTGTAGCTCTAGAGCTTGGCCCAACTCTGTAAATATACTCAAACCCATTGAATTGTACAGTTAAAACAGATGAATTTTATGGTATGAAAATCATATCTTAATAAAGCTGATTTTTTTTTAAAGATTTTATTTTTTCCTTTTTCTCCCCAAAGCCCCCCAGTACATAGTTGTATATTCTTCGTTGTGGGTCCTTCTAGTTGTGGCATGTGGGACGCTGCCTCAGCGTGGTCCGACAAGCAGTGCCATGTCCGCGCCCAGGATTCGAACCAACGAAACACTGGGCCGCCTGCAGCGGAGCGCGCGAACTTAACCACTCGGCCACGGGGCCAGCCCCCCAAGCTGATGTTTTTTTTAAAGAAGGAATAATACAATGAAGAAGACATAGAATGAACTCAATACTTAAGTATTCTTTGACTGGATTTGGGGTAGGACAAAACATGCCAGCTATATTGTTTCCAACTGCCCGTAGTATTCACACCAAAAGAGATAACAACTAACATGATGGCCTTGCTCCCTTACTCTCCTCATCTTCTCTATGAGATAGGAAATGGCAAGGATCAGGGCTTAGAGTGGAATGGGTAAAAATTTCCTCCTAGGTGAACAGGTATGCCTGTGATCCATAGGGCCTTTTGTCCATCAATGTGACTCTCACGCTGTAAAGTTTACAACCAAATAAATGAGAAGATCAAGATTCTTTTAGTCAAGTCTGCACCTGACCTGCTTTGTGACTTACCTCGGCACTGTAATTCAGTCCTGGGAGTCATTGGGTCTAAGGTCACCCCTTCCTCTCTCACAAGTAATTCATTTGCAAACCGGTCTAGGTATCTGCCCATCATTTTGAAGATTAGGCAAGTGTTCTCGAACTTCAACTTGGATCTAAATTCATTGAATGTTTACAGATGTGAGGAGATGGACTGATAATGGACTGAAAAACTGCTGACAAAATAGCCTCTGGCCAAGTTCCTTGGAGGAGGATTAATAATGATGGAGGATCAGAGAGCCCTGAGTTGGTTTCTAACCCGGAAAACAAAGTCCTTGGGAAAGGATGAGCCAGTAAACAGCAACAATTGCTGGCGGGGTTGGTCACTAATTCCCTACCAGCTGGCACTGGGCACCTCCAATGAAACCAGTAACTGAACGAGAACACCACATTTTGGACCCTTCAGGTTGTTTCTGCTGGATTTGAACAGGTTGAATGCCCTGTGTGTCAGAGCCTAAGCTTTTACAATGCCAAAATCCATATTCTTATTTAGGTCTAAAATTTCCAAAGACCCTCTTGACTTCGTCTCTCCACCATGCTGGCCTGATCTAACGTGTGAGCTCCTCAGAACCAGAAGAGTCAGTTACAGACTGTAAATGGAAGCAAAGCACACTGAAGGGAGAGAACTTATCCAAAACACTTCCAAGTATCACCTCCCTTTCTGGCTGGTGGTAAGACTGATGGGTGAAGTCACCTTGGAGTGGATACCCAAGTTTGAGCCAAGATAACCCCCAAAGGTGAAGGATTTTAAAGGAAAGAGTTGTTACCCGTAACACCAGTACGCCCATGTGAGCAACAGCCAGGTGGATCTGCATCCCTTCGCCATCACTGGCAGGGTGAGGCCTGATGCCATACATATCCAACTTCCTCGCTATGTCCAGTAGCAGAATGTCAGATTCAGCTGGGCTCCTGCCACTGCAAGAGGAAGGAATTTATGAGCCTAATAAATGCAGCCAGAATGACACCTTCGCCCTGAGAGCTCCATGAGGAGCTCAGTGTTTTCCTGAGCCTGAAGCTTCTCTGACTTAAGGGCTTGCTTTTAAGAGTCTGTCCCCAGCTTTAGTGTTCTCCGCTGGTGGAAGCAGGTGCCAGTTAAAGTACTTACATGTGCTTCTGATGAAAGTGCGTGATCTTGCTCTCTAAACAGTCTTGGTTCGGTAAGTACCGGGTTCGTGCCAGATGTTTTCTATCTGTTTCTTCGTGAAAGTCTCCCAGTTCTGCTACATGACAGAAAAGTGACATTTTTCACACTACCATTGAGGAGTTAAGTAACAGAGCACCCAGCAGACTCTCTGACCTCCCCCAAACAGCCCTTTTTTTGGTAGCCAGTGCAGCCCTAGGCCTCCCATCCATACTTTATGTGTATTTATGTTTTAGTATATGGGGAGGAGCTAACTGGTTCTTTTTCAAATCAGGAGCAGTGGGCTATGAAGTCTCAGTATAGTAAGTCACAGACACAGTGTAGGTCTGAAAGACTCCAGGACCACAGGTGAATATTTTGTTATTTTTTTCTCCCACACTCTGTTTATGATCTCTTCTACTTCTGATCAGTCCCTGGTATGGGCTGAATTGTATCCCCCCTTCTCAAATGCATATGTAGAAGTCCTAACCTCCAGCACTTCAAAATGTGACTGTCTTTAGAGATAGGGCCTATAAAAGAGATTACGTTAAAATGAGGCAGTAGGGTGGGCCCTAATTCAATCTGCTGGTGTCCTCATGAGAAGAGGAAATTTGGATACACAGGGAGACACCAGGAATGCAGGTGCACAGAGGAAAGACCAGGTGAGGACGCTTCAAGAGGGCAACACTCAGAAAGCCAAGGGAGAGGCCTCTGAAGAAACCAAAACTGCTGACACTTCAATCTTGGATGCCTACCCTCCATAATTGTGAGAAAATCAATTTCTGTCATTTAAGCCATCTAATCTGTGGTATTTTGTTGTGGCAGCCCTAGCAAACTAACACAGCCCCCTAACCTTACTCCACTCTGATCATACATTATCAAGAAAGGAGAATAAAATGCCAACTACAATGCCAGCCAGTCACAGCCATTCATCATTCTGTACATCGAGAATCTAGTAAAACCCCAGCTATCTGGAATCCTCACTATATGAACCATTCTGAAAATCATTCTGGCTGTTGCAAATCACTGGCGGTTTATCCTTGATCATAATCGATTCTTTTCTAGATGTCTCCAGTTTATTGTTATAAATATCTGTTATAGCACTATGCCTACAAAGGCAATTGAAGTATATAGGATCATCTGCCCCTACAGTAAATGGCTTCAAACTGTTTCAATTTTTGAACTCTTATGTCTTCTTTATAATTTTTGTGCTTTCTCCCTCTCTGTCAGATTGATACAAATCATTTCTTGGTCATTGAAAAGGTCTCCACTTGGTTCTAAATTGTGACTTCTAATCTACCATAAACAGGGAACTCACAACAATTTTTACAATTAAAATTCACATTTTAACATGCAAAAAAAAAAAGGGAACCCAGATATTCGAACCTGTTAGCATTTTATGAATTGTATGAGTAAACAGACTTTCCACGGAATCCTGTGTTGCTCTCTTATTGAGTTAAACACATAGACACAGGGGAACTGATTTTAAGTGCTGAAAAGCTGTTATTTTCTCTTTTATCTTGATTTTCTAATGTGTTTTAAACAGATGGCATGCTCATTTTTAGACAAGTGAGGTGTATATATATATTTGAAAAACCACGTTATAATGAAAATATCCATATAACAAGCTTTTAAAAAAATCAATGGCTCTTTTATTTATTTTTTGCCAAAATTGATAAATGTATGAATCTCATTAAAACTCAATCAAGCCCATATGGTTTCACTGCTGAATTCTGTCAAATATTCAAACAAGATATAAACACTAATCTCTCAAAACTCTTCCAGAAAATAGAGGAAAGGATACTTACCAACTCATTCTAAGAGGCCAGTATTACTCTGATACCAAAACCAGCCCAAGAAATCACAAGAAAAGAAAACTACAGAACAACATCCCTCATGAATACAGAGGCAAAAATCCTCAACAAAATCTTAGTAAACTGAATCCAGCAACATATAAAAAAGGATTATACATCATGACCAAGTGGGATTTATCCCAGGATTGCAAAATCAGTTCAGCATGTGAAGATTAATTAATGCAATATACTATGTTAATAGAATAAAGGACAAAAAATTATCATCTCAATAGATGCAGAAAAAGCATTGGGCAAAATCCAACACCAATTTATGATGAAAACCTTCAACAAACACGACATAGAAAGGAACATTTTCAATCTGATAAAGATTATCTATGAAAAGCCTATAGCCAACATCATAATCGTACTAAATGGTGAGAAACTGAATGCTTTCCCTTAAAACCAGAAACAAGACAAGAATGTCTGCTCTTGCCACTTCTCTCCAACATTGTACTGGTGGTTCCAGTGCAATCAGGCAACAAGAAGAAATATAAAGAATTTGTACTGAAAAGGAAGAGATAAAACTGTCTTTACTTGCAGTCAACATGGTCCTGTCTGTAGAAACTCCTAAAGAATTCACAAAAAAACCCTACTAGAAGTAATATATGAGTTAATCAAGGTAGCAAGATAAAAGATCAATATACAAAAAGTAACTGTCTAGCAATGAACCATCAAAAAATGAAACCAGGAAAACAATTTCAAGTATAATAGCTTATAAAAAATGCTTAGGAATAGATTTAATTGAAGATGTATAAGACTTGTATACTGAAAATTACAAAACATTGCTGAGAGAATTTCTTTAAAGGTCTATATAAATGAAGAGACACTTTAGGTTCACTGATTAGAAGACTCAATAGTGTTCAGATGATTAATCTGCCAAAATAGATCTATAAATTCAATGCAATTCCCACTAAATATTTTTGTAGAAATTGACAAACGATGTTAAAATTCACATGGAAATCCACAGGTGCAAAATAACCAAAACAATTTTGAAAAAGAAGAACAAAGTTGGAAGATGTACATCCCTGTTACAAAGCTTAATCCAAAGCCACAGTAAACAAGACAGTATGGTACTGCTATAAGGATTTATAGATCAAGGAATCATAGTTGAGAATCAAGGAATAAGCCCTTACATTTATGGTCAGTTGGTTTCTGACAAGGGTGCCAAGACAATTCAATGGGGAAATAACAGTCTTTTCAATAAATGGGACAAATAAACACCCACATGCAAAAAATGAAGTTGGACTTTTACCTCACAACATACATCATACAAACATACAAAAAATAATTCAAAATGGATCATAGGCCTTAACCTAAGAGGTAAACCTATAAAAGTTCTAGAAGAAAACTTAGGAGAAACTCTTTGTGACCTTAGGTTAGGCAAAGAGTTCTTAGATACAACACCAAAAGCATGATCCACTAAAACATATTGAGAAAATAGAATTCCATCAAATTAAAAATCGTTGCACTCCAAAAGACAGCATTAAGAAAATGAAAAGTTAAGCTGCAGATTGGGAGAAAATTTGCAAATTACATATCTCTTAAAGGACTTTTAATCAGAATATATAAAAATCTCAAAATTCAATTAGAAGACAACCCATTTTTAAATGAAAAAAGATTTAAATAGGCATTTTACCAAAGAAAACATAGGAATGGTTATTAAGCAGATGAGAAGGTACTCAACATCATTAGTCATTAGGAAAATGCTAATTATGATTGCAGTGAGATACTTCTTCATATCCACTAGAATGGCCATAATCAAAAAGTTAGACAATACCAAGTGTTGGTGAAGATGTGGAGAAATTGGAAACCTCATACATTTCTGGTTTTATTGTACCAATTTTTTTTTGAAGAAGAAGATAAGCCCTGAGCTAACATCTGCTACGAATCCCCCTCTTTTTGCTGAGGAAGACTGGCCCTGAGCTAACATCTGTGCCCATCTTCCTCTACTTTGTATGTGGGATGCCTGCCACAGCATGGCTTTTGCCAAGCAGTGCCATGTCCACGCCCGGGATCCGAACCGGCGAACCCCAGGCTGCCGAAGCGGAACATGCGAACTTAACGGCTGCACCACCCAGCCGGCCCCCATTGTACCAATTTGAAGAACAGTTTGGCAATTTCTTAAAATGTTCAACATAAATTTACCTTAAGGTGAAGAAATTACACTCCTGGGAATCTACCCAAGAGAAATGAAAACGTGTGTCCACATAGAGACTTGCACATAAATGTTCATAACATTATTTAAAACAGCTAAACTGGAAACAATCCAAATGTCCATGACCAGGTAAACAGAGAAACAAAATGTGGTATATCCATAAAATGGAATACTACTCAGCAACAGAAAGGAACAGACTGTTGTGATTCGTGCTGGAACGTGAATGAATTTCAAAAACATTATGCTGAGTGAAAAAAGCCAGATACAAAGGGCCACATAGTGGATCATTGCAATTACATGAAATGTCCAGAAAAGGTAAATGTATAGAAATAGAAGTAAATTAGTGGTTGCTGGGGCTGAGCTTGGGAGCAGGGAGTGACTGCAAATGGGTGTGAGAGATTTCTTTTGGTGTGATGGAAATGTTCTAAAACTGGACTGTGGTGAAGGTTGCACAACTCTGTAAATTTACTAAAAACCATTGAGTTGTGGACTTAAAATGGGTGAATTTTATCGTATGTAGATTATACCTCAATGGAGCTGGTTTTAAAAATAAATTAGAAACACACACACAGACACACACACAGACTAATCTTCCTGTTTATTAAGCACAAGACTGTACGTCGACCCTCAGGAAAAATCTAAGAACACATACGACCATGCTTGTTTTTCTCTCCACGCAAGACTATGACAATCTAGGGAGAGACCTACGACATACAAATGAGTAAATATCATCAGTAACAGAAGATAGCAAATGTTAGCATCTTCACTGATACCACGCTGGTCCAAACTACCATCATCTCTCTCTCCTGCAATAGCCTCTTTCTGGTCTCCCCACCTTCCACCATTCCCTCATAAGGTCTATTTTCTTTCTCTTACTTTTACTGAATAAATTTCAATAATGACATGTAACATTGTGTAAATGTAAGGTGTACTATGTGTTACTTTGATACATTTATACATTCTAATACAATTGCCATTGTAGTGATATTTATCACATTACATCATTATGGTACAATATTATGGTCTGTATTCATTGTATTGTACAATAGATCTCTATGGCCTATTTACTACTCATTACAAGTTTCTATTTTCACCACAGCAGCCAATATAATCTTGTTAAAACCTAACTCAGATCATTTCACTCTTCTGCTTCAAATGCTTCAATGCCTTCCCATCTCACTTATAGTAATGTTCTAGGTCTTTTACATGCTTTTAAGGCCTTCCATGATTACTCTCTCCCGCTCTCAGTCAGTTCCAGCCAGCCACAAAGCCTGTTCAATGTTTCTTGAACACTCCGGGCACACTCTCGTCTCAGGCCCTTTGCACTGGATCTTCTCTCTGCCTGGAACTCCCTTCACCATATCTCTGCATGGTTTGCTCTCTTACCTCCTTCAAATCTTTGTTCATCTGTCACCTTCACAGTGAAGCCTACCTTGACCACCTTATTTAAAAATTCAGTACCCATCCCCAGAATTCCCCCATCTCCCTTCCACACTTCATTTTCTCCAATGCAGTTAGCACCGTCTCACATACAGTATACATTTCCTTATTTTGGTTATTATCAGATTCACCTCCACTGCCAAAACATGAGCTTCATGAGAGCAAGGATTTTTGTCTGTTTAGTTCACTGCTATGTTCCCAGTGCCTATAATAGTACCTTGGCATGTAGTAAGTACTCAATAAATTTTTGTTGAATGAATGACAAAGAAGAGTTACTAAGGGTATTCATAAAAGAGAGGTTTCATTTGGAATGCACAAATCATGTTTGGGAGGCAGTGTCTGGCTAGAGTCATGGGGGGTATAAAAGAGACTTAAGCAGACGAGAAGGTTCGAATGCGGAGGTTCTTGAATGCCTAGAACATAGATATTGGATGAGTGAAGAAATGAGTGAATGAATGAGCAGCCTGGTTGTGTTCTGCACACTGCCTTAGCACGCAGAGAAATAGTCTGAACTGGATGGATTGGGAAGAGCTGACTCATTGGAACAACAGCTTTTTGCTATGGAAAGAGCTTCTATTGACAAAATATCCTCCGGAAAAGCTGAAGTGCTCTATGCTATGCCGGAAATGGCCACTAGGGAATGCCCAAATCCATAATGCTGAATCATTAAGAACGAAATTGGGCTCCGCCATCAGAGGCTGTCCCGGGACCCCCAATCCCCTCAGTGCTGACTTAACAGGTAGCTAAGAAGGCTAAGTCTTCCAAAATTGTTTTCTCTATCTGTCTTACCCCATGCCCTCCAGCAAGCCAAGCACAATACTGGAAATATGGTTGGTGTTCTTGGCATTCAAGGCCCTTTAAAATGATGCTTACTTTTCTGCTCTCTCTCCTAAACAGACCCTATGCTTGAGCTGCACTTGAGTATATACTTCTTCCTGTCCCACCACCAGTTTTTTTCATGCTATTTTCTCTGCCTAGTACTATTATCCAATTCCTGTGAGTCCCTCTAAGGCCCAGCACGAAAGCCATCTCCTCCCTAAGCTTTCCCTGATTACTACTGATCCCATTGCTCACTGCCTCCCTGAGATCCGAGGGCTCACGTCACCTGTCCCAGTCAGGAGTCATTTGGTAAATACTGATTCACACACTGTTCCTACCCAAGCACTTCATTCTAGAGTTCCCAGTGAAATCAGAAATCTACCACTTCTGGACCGTCAGGAAGGTAAGGGATAGAGATAAAAAATGAACTTACAAAATAAAATAAAATGCAGTCATGATCCTGTAGGAATAGTGAGGAACGGCCTATTCTTGTAACGACTCACTAGAAGAGAGAGAAAGTCCAGCCAGCCCTAGAAGAAGACATACTTTCTCTAGCTGCCTCGATTCTGCCCTTAGGGATACAGAAGCAACCTGGCCAGCCCGGCAAGCCCCCACTGATCCACAGGCCTCCCTCTCCCTGTCTTCATTATTCAGCCTAGTCCAACTACTTGGCTGCTAGGATACAGGGAACTCTAATAGATGCCTGGGGCCTTTTTCCCTTTTAGCCTCTCCCCACCTGCTGTACTCTGTGCTTTGTTCTCTGGAATCATGATAAAGAACAACACAGAAATCACATCAAACGTGACAGTCTGCTGCAGAAAGCACGTACCAGAAACGTAACCTGGGGTAAGCAGAGGGAGTGGGGGCCTGCCTGGCAAAGTCCATGCTCAGATTAGTCCAAACCAGCTCCTGGACAGCAAGCCGCGGGCAGCGAGAGGGGAAAGTTAAACTGAGATAGAAGAAAATTAGCATCTACTTTTAATCTACATGACACTCTGTGAGAAGGTATTCTTGTCACTATTTTAAAGACTAGGAAACTCAGGGACTTCACCCAAGGCTACAGCAGTTAGAACATAGTAGAGACAGGATTTGAATCCAAATCTCAATGACTACAATGACCAGCCTGTTTCTACTGGACCATGCTATTTCTATGTATCTTATCCAGGCTTTCTCTCCTCTGTAAGTCCTAACACAGTGATGGACATGTTGGAGGTGCTCAGCTCCTTTGCTTGGTTCTCTGCCTGGCTGATAGGCCCCAAAGCCAACATTTGCTACTTACATTGTAAGATGTGAGATACCATCAACGCTGTACAGTTGTCACTGCACGGAAGCCTTCCTAGAGCCAAATCCTTCTTTATTTGAAGAGTAAAAAGATACCTGCAAAGAAGTTGGGAAAAATCTCTTGAGAAGAAACAGGAACAAGAAAGAAGAATTTCCCTTCTCCCCGATCCAAGATGTTTCAAGAAAGAAACGGCGCCCCCAGTCAGTGAGATGCCTTTTTGAGGTGGTGAGTAATGCACAGGCTTTGCTTCAGCCCCAAACCAGCACTAGACCACAACTCGGCTGATCCAGCACTTTGGCAGGCCTCATAGCCATTAGGAATCACCCCGGCCAAATCCTCCCGCCAACTTCAGAGAGTTGGCCAATCATCCTCTGCTGGTTTCTGCCACGTCGCAAAGCCACATACCCAGCCAGAGAGAAAGGGAGATTTAGCAAGAATAAGCCCACTCAGGAGGCCAGTACTGCTGTTTATAAAATGTGAACAAGTAGTCACTATCGTAACAACGTAGGAGGTTGGCCAGGCAGGAGCAATCACCCCATTTTACAATTACGGAAAGACAGAGGTTAGGTATTTGGCAAGGTCATATCATCCAAAGGTAGTGAAAGTGTGACCAGATCTCAGGTCTGCCGCTGAAATTAGGCTGCCTCCTATACAAAAGATTATGTTTCAGAAATAAAAAACTTGAGACCATGCTTCTGCCCCTTTGCCTGGACCACCTTCTCTATCACCAGAGCCCAGCCCAGGGCTTTGCTCAGAGCGAGAATGGAACTACTGTGTACTGAATGGAACGAAGCCAGACTGCCCTTTTTCTTATCAACGGCTCATCAGGGACCCATAAAGTGCAAGTTGGTATCGAGAGCTTTGCCAAACAGATAGCATTTGTCCCACACTTTTAAGGCCTCATCAAAAGAGGATCAATTTTTGAAAAGATGTGTATAATTAAAATTCAATCACTGACTGCTTTCTTCCATGGTCCAAAATTGGTTCCAATATTTTATTTTATACATTAAAACATTTATTGAGGGGCCTGCCCAGTGGCGTAGTGGTTAAGTTCATGTGCTCTGCTTCACTGTTCATGGGTTCACGGCTTCAGATCCCGGGTGTGGGCCTCGCACTCCTCATCAAGCCAGGCCAGGGCGGCATCCGATGTAAAATAGAGGAAGATTGGCACAGATGGTTAGCTCAGGACCAATCTTCCTCACACACACACAAAAGTTATTGAGTATCTACTGTGAGCATTTCCCTGTATAAGACATGATTCTCAAAATAAAGTTCTATCTGGATTTTTTTTTAAACCAATTAAGCCTTGAAGGCAATGTGGTGAATCAAAATCAATTGCAGGTGATAGAGGAACAGCTAGATTAGAAAAAAAAAATCAGGCAAATTAGTAGGTGATTATTCAATTTACAAAAGCATTCATTATTATAATCCTTCAAATTATGAGCTCCCCTAATGGATTAGAAACGATTCAATTAGAAAAATTGTATTTGCACATCACTGTCAGAAACTCACGTATTGGCCCCAAACAAAGTATCCTTATAAAGACAACTACAGTTAAATATTCATAAATGGGCCAATGGGGAAAAAATAAAGGAATTCTAACCTTTGCCATTGCCTGCTTTCAAATATAGATGTAAATGAGAATAATCAGCCTCAGTTGCTAAAGGGAAAGTGAATTTCAGTTTGCTCCTAGCAAGAAAGAAAGGAAACTTCTTGTCATTTGACACGTTCCTTGCAGTTAAGAAGGCAGCTGCCTGCTACAAATACTAAATCCTTGCTCCGAACAGCTGATGAATCATTTATCATCACATTGATTTTCTCTTTTTTTTTCCAGAGAAAGTTTATCTCCATCAAAATTGGTCACAACTTGAGATTCAACTGAAATGGGTTAGCAAATGCAAACTAACATAGATACCAAGATATCAAGTTGTCTGGGAAAGCGGCCTACAAGTCACAAATGTGGAGAGAATTGGGAGAGAGAGAGACCGTCTTGTGAAAAGTGACTTCTGCAAAGACCCCTCAGGAAAAAAGTCCCCCTATACCAAAGGGATGAAGAAGAACCGGCCATGGACCACACCGGGGTGGGGGGGGACTTCAGGGAGAATAACTGCCAGCACTCTGTGATCTTGGCCGAGTCACTCTAGCTCCCAGGACCGGTTTCTCATCCGTAAACCAAGAGGGCTGGACCAGATTCTCTCTTATTCCCTCTAGATGTCAGAGTCTAAAGTCTACAAAGCAGAGTAAGGCATTGGGGAGTGTTATGTTGACAATGTATTTTTGAAGAAGTAGGTTTACATTGTAATTTTAAAGGACATTTTTTACAAGTATAAAAATGCTTTCTAAAATGTTTTGTACTTTTTGTCCTTTTCCTTTTTTATTTTTACAAGTATAAAATACTTTTACTTATATAAAATTATCAATAATTTGATTATAAAATTATCCATAATTTATAATTATTAATTATAATAAAATTATAAATAATTTATAGTTATACATTGCAAATAATTTACAAATATTATCTTTTATACTTTAGTTTTTAAATTTTTTATTAGTATATGTCATCATCCTTTCTACTGATGGGATACATACAGACACACAGCGTTTTCAATATCCATGGACATTAGCTGGCATCATACTTGTGCTGACAAGCTGCCGTCGGATTGGAACACAGATGCAACGAAGGCAAGCACTCTTATTGTTGTAGCAGTTTGTGGCATAACCCCTAAGTGGGCACCCAGACTGGCTACCACTTCTAGAATACCACCCCCCACTTCTCCCCAAAGTCCCCACCCTTTGGAAGATTAACATTTTGGGGACCAGCCAGGCCCTCCTTCTCTTCAGCTTCTTGTCATCTCCCAGAGAGCAACTGAGAGCCAAGCTTTCCAAAGAAGGCTAGAAGCCCATTCCCTGATAAATGAAGAATACTTATTCATAAGTAACATCATGCAGCAGACACACAGGTAAGTACTATACCTTGTAAGCTCTTCTCGTAGATGTCCAGGGTCCACTGGGAAAAATTTCACCATAAATTTGAAAACAACCTCCTTAGGATCTTAAAACACAATATCTTCATAAGTTTTATTTAAATGTCCATCACAACAGTTATAGGTCTTCACACACACACTCCCCTCTCCTCTTCCCATGACTCCCTCCCACAGACTTCTGAATTTCAATTGCTCACATTTGTAAGATGCTGCTATTTCTCTGATTGTGTCTCTATGTGGATAGCGATTGGGAAAGTTCTCCTGCCCCGCTTTCTACCCTCTCGCCCTTTGAGTTTCTTTTTATAAGGATGTGCCCGTTTGGGTGTCCTCTCTTAAGAAGTGTCCCATTTAGAAAAATATACTACTTGCTACTTGGGATTCTGCATTCCTGGCCAAGAGAAGAGGGCAGCTTTAGAGGCAAGCGAATACCACCTGCCTCAAGGATGTCATAAAGGGAACTAGAAGCAGTATGGACCGATGCCTCTATGTATCTTAAATTTTACATTAAGAAAACATATCTACTTGCCTTCACTTCTCCTTGCATTTGAAAATAAGAAACTTTTTGCATCAAAAGCAAACACATACATGTAGCATTAGCACCACTCATTCAGTAAATATTTGCTGAGTGCCTATTATATGCCAAGCATTGTACTAGGTAGGTACTGGGAATAAAAAGACAATTAAGCACTCATAGTCTGTTAGAAGAGACAGACATCTAGACAAACAAGCACACCACCACAAAGTGTGATAAGCAATGAGTAGTGGGGAAGCACAAGAGAGAGAAAAGAGTTTGAAGGAAGTCAAGGAAGCCTTCCTAGAGGAGTTGACACCTGAGTAGGGCTGCCAGATTTAGCAAATAAAAATACAGGACTCCCAGTTAAATTTGAATTTCAGATAAACAACGCATGCATGGGACATACTTATACAAAGAAAATATTCTATGTTTATACGAAATTCCAATTTAGTTGGACATCCTCTATTTTATCTAAGAAGCCTATGCTTGAGGTTAATATTGTCAAAGTCAGGAGAGGTAAAAATATGAAGTGGTCAGTAGCAGAGGTAAGGCTGGAAAGGCAGTCAGAGTCTATTGCTCAGTGGATCATGCTAACGAGTTTGGACTTTATTTTAAGGCAATAGGGAGCCATGGAAGCATTTTAAGCAGGACAGTGATGTGGTCAGGTTTGTATTTGCAATAGTTCCCTTTGGGAGTAGTGTAAATGATGGATTGGGGGAGTCAGTTAGGAAGTTAGTGGAATAATGTACAGATTATCATTACGCTGTGGGAACAGACAGAACTGTGGGAAGCATCAACATGTAAAGAGCATGTCGGGGGAGAGACACTAAAACAGCATTTCTCAAAGTGTTGGCTGAAATCCACACGCATCAGAAACACCCATGGAATTTGTTAAAAATGCACGGTACTGGCCCCCAACCTGGAATGAGGCCCAGGAATCTGCATTTTAACAACAGCTCCTAGTGATCCTAATTGCGAACCACCACACTAGATTGTGAAATATGGGCTGGGAGGATATTTCATACATAGTAAGGCACTCAAATAAGAACTGAAACAAATGGACAATGTCTGTGACAGTATAAAACAAAAACATCTTCAGGCGGAAGGTGAATGGCATTGCAGACTGACATAGAGGATGTTTGAAGCTTTGAGTGCTAGAGCCTGTGATATATTCCCAGAGCCAATCCACAGAGTGCTGTAATTACTAGGGTTCTTCAAACCTATTCAAAGATCCAGCAGCATGATTTTCTTCATCTTGGGCAAAGTTAAACGATTTTTTTAAATTGCTAAATTCACTGGATGTATGAAGGATTAAAATAATACATCAAAGCCCATTTCTCCCCTTATATTAAGGTGAGGAATAGTATGGTGTTGCTGAAACATTTTCAAGTTGTAACTGGGAATTATATTCCTTAAGTGATTTTCCATACGTACTTTTTACTTGCTTTGTAATGGGCTTCAGAAGTTCCAACCAGACCTGTAACAACATTAATGAAAAAATTGGTAGAACATGGCATTGAGTGCAGGGTTTTTTGGTTTTTTTTTTTTTTTGGTAACAGATAAAAGTCAACATGAAATAAACAAATAGCAAGATTATTTAGACTTCTAAAGATAGTTGGAAACAGCAATGTCAAAGAGATGATGTACCTCCAC